ATCGAATCCGATTGGCCTAATAAGGAAGCTGCGCTCCTTGTCAAATCTCGGTTCATATGATAAAATCCGCAAAAGGGGGTCATTCTGAATGCAAGAAATTTCTTCTGTTAACTATGTGATGGCGCACCTTTTCGAGATCTCGAAACAGTGAAAACATGTTGCTCGCCTTGGGTCGTGATTTCCGGTCGGGATTAGTGCACAGCGCGACAAGGCTTCGAAAAGCTGGCGTGCAGTTCGGTGGATTGATAGGATTGTCGATTTTCTGTTGAAATCTAAATTGAGCGTCTGTTTAGGCAAATGTGCGATCGAAAAACCATAATATTTAAAACCTTCTTTTAAACTTTCCAGGTAGACTAATTTTTGCTCAAAACCACAGCTCTGACTCTTCCATTCTAAGCATATAAAATGACATTTATAGTGAACAGCAACAATAAAATTATAATTGTAAACTTGTAGCATTTTAAGCCATCGTTTATCATAGGGTCCACGTGTTTCCTGGTCTTTTGGTTCCCTTCATTTGTTAACACTTACCTTTGCCGTTCGATCACCTCCCACAGCACCAGCCCCATCGAATAGACGTCATTTTTGTGTGAAACCTGAAAAGTGCCCTACCATCGCATGACGTGGGGATCAAAATTCACCATTAGTCCATTGATGTGTTCATCCAATTGTGGAGCTAGATAATTTTTTGTTCCAATGAACGATCCAACTCTGCTAATAGGTGCTCGCTTCACACAACCAAAGTCGCCGACCTTCAACGTAAAGTCGGCTGTGACAAAAATACTGAAAGCTTCTCTTTGCTTTTTTCTTTTTCTGCAACAAACTTTCCAGATTTAATGTCCCGGTGAACGATCTTGTGCTTCGTGAACAAATAGTCAATAGCACTGAACAGTTGCGCACCCCAAGAAGCGACGGTTCGCATCGAGTAGATGATGGCCGGCGTGGAAATTACTATATTGGTTTTTTTAACGTACCGTAGTTCTAATAAACGGCCACAGTCTTTGGGAAGAGGAAAAAAAAAAGGAAATTTACTGGGTAGTCACACTATTGTATTGATATTTTTTAACGGCAACTCCGCAGTGTTTTCCTTCTTATTATAGTTCTCCGGTGACAGTGATTGTCAATTAGAAGAATGACAGTAACTTTTAACAGTAGAGTCTCTTAGGCGCTAGTCTAAGCCACGGAACGCACCCACGAGAATAACGACTAGAATTTGGTGCGTCCCAGTCCATTTTAAGTACTTTAACAACGAATGCACTCACGTTTCTTGAGGTCCCCATGCTCACAATATTCCATTAAAATGACACACGTCTTTTGGGAAAACGTGTGCACTTCGCGGGCTCGCAAATACGACACAATATTCCTGTGTCGGAAACTTTCGCCGATTGCCTCCTCGAGTCGATAATATTTAAGGGCGTTTTCCGAATTTTCCTCCAAAGTGTTCACTTTCAAAGCGTACCACCTAAGGCCTCGTTGTTTTACAAGTTTGTTTCGAGTTTTTGGAAAATGCCAGCTCTCGCTCCGGCTAAACCTACTTCTTTTTCTCTTGAAATCGATAAACCTTTCTAAAAGAACCCTTTCCAATTAATTCCATTTTTCCCGAATCCAAAGTGATAATTGTCGATGCCTTGAAATTGAGCAAATCAGTCATCTCTAAAATAGGTATTGCTAATGTTGAGCATGGAACATTGAGGGGAAGCCAATGTATCTTATGATGCATTGATTCACTTCACAGTAACCTTTGAAATCCCTTCTCCTCGATTTGTACATTTGGTAAATGCCGTAGAGAAGCGGATTGAGAATCGCGTAGCCAAATATACGTGAACGTTGCAATAAGTAAATAGCTTCGTTGCTTCCCCTAATACTAAAATCTATGTCAACATCAAAACAGTTCACATCCACCTTTCTCTAATTTGTTTAATTTCGACGAGACCCATAGTTAGAGTAAAGGCCAGATAGCATAAGAAGAGGTTTCGTGCGTTTCGTCGCCGATTTACCTGGGATCTCCTGCTATTTCCGGATAAAGGCCCTGAAAATTTCGGATCATTGACTAATTAATTATGTTGATAGTTTAGATGCATAAATTTGTATAAGTTATTTAAAAACAAAGCGTTTCTTTGAACATCGAGATACGCATTTCTATCAGTTTGCAAAATGTACAAGATCGTCACGCGATGCGTGTCTCCGCAATTTGGGGTTGAGTCTCACGATAAGAAATAGACCGCAATCAACCAAAAGCCCGGAAGCTTTTACCTTGTAAAAGTAGCAATATGCAGGTGACCAGAACGAACAATGACGTGAATGCATAGAGAATCAATGAGACGTTGAAAACAGCTTGACGGAGTATTACAAATGGTTGAATCGTTGGTCGCTTAAATAAGCAACGGATCGTGGAGACTAAAAGGGAATTGAAAGCAATAGGAGAAACTCTTTTATTACTCGCTCCAGTTACTTGACTTTAGCAGGAAACAAGATCTCACCTGATGTTAGTTGATCTCGATAAATCCAGAGTAAATCCGAGAAATGCAATATCGGAAAGAATACATTAAAGAGGGTGATTCGAAATATGTGCTCTTTTCTTATCCAATGACCCGTGCTAAAAATAAATGAATTTTTCCAAAATTACAGGTTTGCAACTTTTTGTCAAAAAAACCTCAAGATGCATAATTTGTGCTTGGCACTCCCGTCAACTCACCGCCATAGAAGATGTGAAGCTCGGAATATCAGAAAAGAATAGAAGGAAAGATTTGATGTCAAATAACAAACGTTTTTTACAAAAAGTTGTATTGGACACAGGAATGACGGTAGCCAAACAACATCGAATCGAAGAGAAGAAACTTGCCAAGGCAGTTCTAATAACAAATAGAAGGAGTCAGCAAGCGCCATACTTAACACAAAATAATCGGTTATTTGAATTTCTTTCTTGTTGAGTTTCTTTTTCCAGAATAATAGACATCCGACAATGAAGAAATTAGCGGGAATGCCCAATAAAATGATGGCAATAATGCCAATGTTTATACCTTGATAAAAATCAAGCATCGCAAAAGAATATGTTCCACTTCGCCACAGGGAGACTAATGGCCAATGTTGCAAATTTTCTAGTAGAAAACTCGCTATCGAGTGTTTTGTGTGAGCAACAACTAAAAAGGAAGACTTTTCTTGGATATATAGCAATCTCGATCTCATCTAATCTCGGTGCAGTCTCAATATATACAGAAAAGATTAAATCTTGGCGCCAGACCAGAGTTCTGTCCGACAAGGTTTTCCTGTTGCAAGAAAAACTCACGCTTGATTTTATCGTAACTTTGGATAGTTTCTCTGATCTTCTCATTTTTCGACATTTACCACTGGATCTTTCTCACAAGTATCTCTCAAGGGTCATGTTCATTTGAGCTTTGTCGGACCAGGTTTTCCTGTTGCAAGAAAAACTCACACTTGATTTTATCGTAACTGGGATTCGCGCGTTTTTCTGTTAATTGCAAAAGTTTTCCATTCAGAACAGGAACCTAAATCGTTAGTATTCAAGAGGTAAAAAGATTAAATTTTTCAAAAGATTGTTTCATTTCATTAAAATGGCTAACGCCAAATCTGAAGCTATCCGACTTATGCCGATCATCGATTTCAGTAATTTGACCCAAACGAAGTGTCAAGATTTAAACATTGGTCAAGATTTAAACATCTATTGGGTTGGTGAATTGAAAATGCTGGCTATTATCATATGTGGCAGTTTGAGCACTTTCTTCAAAAGAAACCCATTTTAGTGTCAATAGAAAAGTTGTAGAGAATCAAAAATGAAGCTTATATCCAAATTTTCAGAACGATTCAAAAGTGGTTTTCAAGAAATGCCAAATTCACGAATTTTCACAAAACTTGCATTTTAAGCGAAACTATTGGGTTGGGGAGAATGAGTCGGCGCCCAACTTTAAAGGGACATTTTGCACACATAAAGCCTTCTTTAAACATACGTTTGGTTTCATCAAAAGGATCCACTATTTCTCTACAAAATGACTTTTGAGAGATTCCACAAGGCTTTTCTTTCGTGAAGTTTATGAACTTCCAAACGCAGCTGGTTAAAATGGCAAAGAGTCCGACTCATCATTTGAACAGTTTCTTTCACATAAACCTTCTTTGGTGTTTATATAAAAAAGATAGAGCACATTCAATTACTTAAGTTGCCAAATTTGCAGGAAGATCCCACCAATGGTTTTTTCTAGATCACAGTTTGTAGTTTTTATGAAAAAATGGCTTTTTCTTGAGCGGAGGCGCTGTTTGAATTTTCTTTTAAATGTCATTTTGTAGAGAATTAGTTAACCATTCTACTCATATCAAACGCATATTATTTGACGAAGTCGAATAGAAGTTTTAGACATTTTTTTCATTTTCGGCGCCGACTCATTCTCCCCAACCCAATACTAAGTGTATCTTTTTGGAAATTTGGCTATAAGCCTAATTTTTGATTCTCTACAACTTTTCTATTGACACCAAAATGGGTTTCTTTTGAAGAAAGGGCTCAAAGTGGGACATCCCCCGTCCTCGATTTTTGAGTCTCACACACAAACCAAAACCCTACTACGAAAGAGGAATCCGCAAATTGCCTGTAAAACGGCAGCTTCTAACGCCAAATCTCCACCTGAAACACTGATAGTGGTGTCGAGCATCCCTTTGAGTAATTTGATACAAAGGCATCGTCAAGATTTAGCTTCAGAAAATCGGTTGGTCAATTTTATATGAAGATACTGAAATTCTCTAGGGAAGAGCTCGAATCTCCACGAAGAATCACTTTCCCAAAGGCGATTGGCTTTTGTTTCACCGGTCTTTTGATTGGATTCGCAGTCACATTTATGTCCACGTTCGACTATGTCACCGCGGCGACGAAATGTCAACTCGGATGGGTTTACTCCAGAGAAATTACAAGTACTCGAATTACTCGATTACAAGTGCTATCGGGATCATATGCTCATTGCCATAAACTGATCTTCATCCAGATTCCTTGGATTTTGATGGTAAGTGATTTTAGATATACTTGAAACATGGGATATTTTAGAGTTTCTACTTGTTCCCTTCGTTGATCATCAGTCTTTTCCTGGCCAGCATCTCGTTTTTGTCTTTCATGTTTGTTTAAGAATCCTTTACTTTGTTGATCAGACTTTAGAGATCAAAATTTCAGCCCTTACATCGGGGAATTCTTCTTGGGTGCTTTCAACGATTCAGTCGGTATCAACATTAGTCCACGGAAACAAGAGGATGTTTTGAGTGAGATTTGGAACAACTTCTTCTCATCTTTATTTCAGAAATCTTCATCTTCATGACCTTTGCCGCAGTCACTTTCATCTTACAACTGCTGCTCTCTAGCTCGTACTTTCAGTACATCAAGTGTGCTTCAATTTGGATTTTATCATATAAAAAAATAATGAAAACCAAGAATGACAAGATTCTAGTCTGTGTAAAAAAAAAAATTAAACTAAGAATTAAAGGGATTTCGGCTCCAATGATGTTATGCTCAACGATTTAGACTTCCACGATTTTTAAAAGAGACAACATTCTCAGAGTGGATTTTTTTGCTTCCCAAGATTCCAAATCGTCCCATAATTTTAAGCAAGTACAAGTTTTATACTGTGTACACAAAAAAGCAAAATAAACTCGGCAAGCCCGATCCGAGCCATGATCGTTTGACTACAAACCCGTTGCTTTACCTCGACACCACTGATTGAGTGCTTTCGTTGGCTAGAGAGCGCTCTAAATTTCAATGCGAAAACTTTGTTGTTAAATATCTGGTGATTGAAACGTTCACAGGGAAGCTAAAAACGGATTCGGATTTCCCGTTTCAAACCCGATCAGGGTATGATTCTATAGGCTTAAACTCAACCTTAAGTTGGTGCCTTTCCCTAGTTAGTCTCTCCCTAGTAAGATCTATGGCTCTTTAGCCAGTCGGTCATGGCAGCAACTACCAGAGATAGCTTTTGTGTTCATAACAATGTAAAATAAACTTTGAACTCAATAAAACTCACCCAAGTCTCCTCGTGTCCAGGTTGTAAACTCTCAAATTTACAACCAAAAACGATCGAAATCAATGCAAAAAAAGGGAAATTTTATTTCGAATATCTGAAGATTTATATTCATTTTCAAATAGATTTCAATTGTTTAAAGTATTCAAAAACTTATTAACTCAATGATAAATGAAAAAAATTCAACATATTCATGAATTCTTTTTTAAAAACAAAAAAATGAAGTCATTTAATCTTATGCCATAAAAATGAAGATGAAATGACCATGAGATTTATGGATTCATTCAATGGGTAAGACCAAGGTCAAATCCTGGGATTTTTCTTTCCAAATCTTTTCATTTCTGTCTTTTCTTTTCAAAAAAAAAACTTCCCAATGAAATCTCTTCAATTTTATTGCCTCAATATTGCTTAAAAAAGAAAAAAAAATTGCGACACTTTTTTTGAGTAGATAACGCATCTCTTTTGACCTAGCTCAACATTTCTAAAAGGCTTGCTTGAAAATATTTTCTAAAAATGGTTTTGATGTGGTTGTGGAGGCCAAAAGTGAAGCCGAAAAAGAGTCCCATTCAGAAGAAAGATTACCGATGCTGTTGTCCGTGTTTCTCGGGAGTTGTTCGTTTTTGATCGCTTTAATATCCAAATGATTGTGGATTCAAGAATTCACTTTCTTTCTTCTTCCGCCTTATCTTTCCTTCTTTCTCTTGGCAAGTTAAAGTACGAGATGACTCAATGATTAGAGCAATTGCCCGGAAAGTTAAAGGTCGAGGGTTCAATCACTTCCTCGGAAATCTACCATGCTCCTTCAACTTCTTTATTACTATAATGCTTAAAGTTATCACAACGTAGTCGAAGTTTGCTTGAATCTCAACTAAAAAGATTCGAATTTCGTTTAAAACTTAATTAGATTATGTTGTTAATTTGATTCGTTGTTAATTTGGGGTGAAGACTTGGGGCAATTTGTTAGTGGATCTTAAAGTAGACTAGGACGCACCAAATTCTAATCGTTATTCTCGTGAGTGCGTTCCGTGGCTTAGACTAGCGCCTAAGAGAGTCTACTGTTAGAAGTTACTGCCATGCTTCTAATTGACGATCACTGTCACTGGAGAGCTATAATAAGAAGGAAAGCACTGCGGAGTTGCCGTTACAAAAATATCAATAGAATAGTGTGACTACCCAGTGAACCTCCCTTTTTTGCTCTTCCCAAAGACTGTGGCCGTTTATTAGAAGAGCTACGGTACGTTAAAAAAACCGATATAGTAATTTCCACGCCGGCCATCATCTACTCGATGCGGACCGTCGCTTCTTGGGGTGCGCAACTGTTCAGTGCTATTGACTATTTGTTCAGGAAGCACAAAATCGTTCACCGGGACATTAAACCTGAAAAGTTTGTTGCAGAAAAAGAGAAAAGCAAAGAGAAGCTTTCAGCATTTTTGTCACAGCCGACTTTACGTTGAAGGTCGGCGACTTTGGTTGTGTGAAGCGAGCACCTATTAGCAGAGTTGGATCGTTGGTTGGAACGGAAAATTATCTAGCTCCACAATTGGATGAACGCATCAATGGACTAATGGTGAATTTTGATTCCCACCTCATGCGATGGTAGGGCACTTTTTAGGTCTCACACAAAAATGACGTCTATTCGATGGGGCTGGTGCTGTGGGAGGTGATCGAACGGAAAAGGTAAGTGTTAACAAATGAAGGAAACCAAAAGACCAGGAAACACGTGGACCCTATGATAAATGATGGCTTAAAATGCTACAAGTTTACAATTATAATTTTATTGTTATTGTTTACTATAAATGTCATTTTGTATGCTTAGAAAGGAAGAGTCAGAGCTGTGGTTTCGAGCAAAACTTAGTCTACCTGGAAAAGTTTAAAAGAAGATTTCAAATTTTATGGTTTTTCGATCGCGCACTTGCCTAAACAGACGCACAATTTAGATTTGACCGGAAAATCGACAATCCTAGCAATCCACCGAATTGCACGCCAGCTTTTCGATGGCTTGTCTCGCTGTGCACTAATCTCGATCGGAAATCACGACCCAAAGCGAGCAACATATTCTCACTGTTTCGAGATCTCGAAAAGGTGCGTCATCACATAATTAACAGAAGAAATTTCTTGCATTCAGTGTGACCCCCTTTTGCGGATTTTATCATATGAACCGAGAATCGACACGGAGTGCAGCTTCCTTATTAGACCAATCGGATTCGATGGGACAAGTCATTTTGTACCAGTTTACCAGGATTTTGTACCAGTTGAATCTGATTGTTGTTTGGTGCCTGTAGTGACTTTTAGTACTTTAGAGTCATAAATGTGTAAACATAAATTGTTATATGTGTATTTTTTTGGGTTCACTCAATTCTGTTTTTGGGTTCACTCAAGCGATTCTGTACCAGTTCACCAAAATTTGGTACCAGTTCACCAAAATTTGGTACCAGTTCACCAAGATTTTGTACCAGTTCACCAAGAATCCGATTGTTTTTTGCCACCTACAATACCGACTTTTAGTACTATTTTAAAGAAATAAACGTGTAAACATAAATTATTATATGTGTATTTTTTTGGGTTCATTCAATGGTTTTTGGTTAATCAGTCGACCCCCCGAGAGATACGTCCGTTTCTTTGTGAGTTACAGTCTCAATATAACGAACTACGATATAACGTACTGTGTTCGCTCTTAATAGGAACCGTATTGGAACCGTATTGGAGCCATATTAAAACTTAATAGGAACCGTATTGGAACCGTATTGGAACCGTATTGGAACCGTATTGGAACCGTATTGGAACCGTATTGGAGCCATATTAGAACTTAATAGGAACCGTATTAGAACTTAATTGGAACCGTATTGGAACCGTATTGGAACCGTCTTGGAGCCATATTAGAACTTAAGAGGAACCGTATTGGAACCGTATTGGAACCGTATTGGAACCGTATTAGAACTTAATAGGAACCGTATTGGAACCGTATTGGAACCGTATTGGAACCGTCTTGGAGCCATATTAGAACTTAAGAGGAACCGTATTGGAACCGTATTGGAACCGTATTGGAACCGTATTAGAACTTAATAGGAACCGTATTGGAACCGTATTGGAACCGTATTGGAACCGTATTGGATCCGTATTGGAACCGTATTGGAACCGTATTAGAACTTAATTGGAACCGTATTGGAACCGTATTGGAACCGTATTGGAACCGTATTGGAACCGTATTGGAACCGTATTGGAACCGTATTGGAACCGTATTGGAACCGTATTGGAACCGTATTGGAGCCATATTAGAACTTAATAGGAACCGTATTGGAACCGTATTGGAGCCATATTAAAACTTAATAGGAACCGTATTGGAACCGTATTGGAACCGTATTTCTAGCTATCTAGAAAACAAGCTAACTAAGTTTGTCAAGAAATTTGAGGCCAATATTGAACGGAAAGCCGTTTTTAGTCCTAGTCCCAAAGCTTTTTACTCATACGTCTATTCTAAGATTAATCCAAGCCACGATTCCTCTATTAAATGTATATTTGACCCCCTTCGCAACTCGTTGATTTTCGAAAATCACCAAATTGCTAATTCCTTTGCTCAATATTTCTCCAGCGTTTTTGCAGTTGACGATGGTAGTTGCATCCCTGTTCTTCCCGCTCCAGCACATACTTGCGCAGCCCTAATCGTCACACCAAGACTGGTCGAAACAGCAATTAGTAAGCTTAGCAATAAGATTTCTTACACCCCAGACGGAATTCCCTCTTTTGTTATATGGAAAACTAAGTTTCAAATATCACCACTACTTGCTAAACTTTTTAATCTGTCACTTCTAACGGCTAAGATCCCTAAATTTTGGAAAGACTCAACGATTTCGCCACTTTTTAAGAAAGGAGATCGGAACGCGCTTGCAAATTATAGACCCATCGCGCTCATCTCCTCCATTTGTAAAGTCTTGGAGATAATTATTTGCGACCACATTATTCACTATCTAAATGAACATAATCTCATTGATAAAAATCAATTCGGCTTTCTCAAAAACCGCTCTACCTCCGACCAGCTAATTCTCTGTGCGCATGACTGGCTTCTAGCTAAAGCCAAAAACGATCAAACTAGCTGCGTTTTCATTGATTTTTCCAAAGCATTCGATTAATCATAGATTTTTAATCGCCAAACGAAATTCACTAGGTCTCCCCATATCCATCACTAATTGGATTGCAAATTGGCTTACCGAAAGGACTTTTCGCGTCCGCTTAGGCTCTACCTTTTCGAATGACTTCCCCATTAGTAGCGGAGTGCCCCAAGGGAGCGTTCTTGGTCCTCTTCTTTTCCTTATCTATATTAATGACATTAACAGTTCGATCTCCGATCTCCCCAGGCACAAAAGTCCGACTCTACGCCGATGATCTTAAAATTTATAGAGTACTTCCGTCCCAGAGCCCCATCCCTGATTTTACTCTTCTCCAGAAGGATCTTGATTCGATCCTTTTGTGGAGTAAATTTTGGAAACTTAACATTGCGCCGGACAAATGCTAACACATTACATTTGGCTCATTACATATCCCTTTAAAATTGGGGGACCTACAATTCCCACAAGGGTTGGCCGATGATCCTGTAAAAGATCTTGATATACTGTTAGTTCCCTCTCTAAAATTTGATCCTCACATAAACTACATTTCCAAAAAAGCTTCTAGAATTTCTAGCATAATTCTTCGCGCCATTTGTTTCCCTAAAATCGCGACTTATCGCAAGGCTTTTATGACCTATTGCCGACCTTTGCTCGAGTATGCCACCATCGTATGGTCACCTTCCATTAAGAAACTTATCACCTTGGTTGAAAATGTCCAACGGCGTTTCACTAAAAAAGCATACACTCGTTGTTTCCCTTCTTCTCTTATTCCAAATTATGAGACTAGACTTATAGTTTTTGATTTAAAACCCCTTTTATATCGCCGTATTTACTTTGATCTTATTTTTTGCTATAAAATTCTTTGCCACCCTAAGTCACATCCAGAATTTCAAAGCCTCTTGAAAATTGTAGAAATTTATAGAAGTTCACGTAGTCATCCTTATCAAATTTCGGTCGGTTCTCATCCCCATCATCTTTCCCTTTATCATTCTTTTGCGAACCGTATTAGTAGGATTTGGAATAAGCTCCCGTCTGGTATCTTCTTGTCTGTAGGAAAATTCAAAGTATCTGTGAACGAATTAGATCTTATTGCCATGTCAAATCTGCCCTATATTTAAACTTTTTGTATCTGTATTTCCTAACTGTGTACTCTTACTGTACTATCTTTAGTTTTCTCTCTTTTTTCGGTGAGAGTATTGTAGCAATATGTTATATGTTATGATTGTTATGTTATGATTATCTGATTCGCTTCTATTCGCCCCATGAATAAAGCATATATATTAAATGTTACTAGTTTTTTCAAAATTGACCAATTTTCAGTTATTTGCCGTTATCGCCAAGATCTAGCCTTCCGCGGAAGGGCACTTCTGGCGTTTCAATAGAAAAAAATAGACTTTTTCACTAATTTTCGATTTAAAAAATTTCTGTTAAACGGCTTTCAAAAATCTTTTTGAGATTTGGAATCAGCATAAAATTCTGCGTCTATATACTTTATCCGACAAGGAAAAGTGACAATGCAAACAGATTGAACAGCGTAGACGAAGAAAGATAATTGATATACAAACACAACTACAATTAGACACGTGTATATGACATTAAAAACTAATTTAAAATTGACAGAGCTACAAGATCGAGCTTATATATTGAGGATTTAAAATAGTTCAGAGACGAAAAAAATCACAAGGTAACTTATTCCAAATACGAGGAACACGACAAGCAAAAGAATGATACAGTTGGCGGTTATGAAAGCTTTGAAAGGGGGTAATCTGAAAGTTGTGACTACGAGTTCTTCTGGCGTGATTCGAAATCTTAAAGAGTCCTTTAAGTTCCGGATGAGAGTTAGGAGAGAAGATGATTTTATAGCATAAGACCAAATCAAAATAAATGCGGCGATGGGATAAGGGTTTAAGGTCAAAAAGAGCAAGTCGATCAGAATAGCAAGGAATTTCTTTCGATGGGAAACAACGGGCATACGCCCTCCTACTGAAACGACGCTGAACGTTCTCAACCAAAGAAATTAACTTTTGGAGGCAGGGAGACCAAACAAAAGTGGCGTACTCGAGCAAAGGGCGGCAGTAGGTAATAAACGCTTTACGATAAGTAGCAATTGAGGGAAAACAAACAGCGCGAAGTATAAGGTTTGAGATGCGAAAAGCTTTTTTTGCCATCTGTTCAATATGAGTGTTTAATTTCAGAGAGGGAACAAGTAAAACACCAAGATCTTTGATTGGGTCGTCAGAAGTGGCTTCAGATAAAGTGATATTCCCTAACTTAAGAGTAAAATGGGAAGGACCAAATGTTACTTGTCTACATTATGGTGTTTTAGGATATCATAAGCGCCCATAAAAGAGAGAATAAAATAATTGAATGGGCTAGATTCTTGCCGCTTCATCAATACACGAAGAACATTAGGTAACTTTTGAAATTTTATGAAAAATTGTTTTGAAATAGGTTTCATTCTGGTATTAACCGTTCTCCTTATGCAGCAATGTTTGGTCAAGAGCCCGAAGACGATGCAACAATTGTTAACGATGAGGTGAAGTATTTTTTTATTCGCATCGCATCATCGGACCTTGTCGTTTTTAAACACTCGGCTTCTTTTTAATGAAAAACCTTCAAAACAAAGCTTTTCAATTACTTTCAAAGTTATTTGCAAGGAAAATGATTAGGTTATCTATTAAAAGAAAGTTTGGTATTTGGTTGTTTGAGGCGTACTCAATTAGAAAATGAATTTGGGTGAAAGACTTAGTACTCAACCTAATATTTATGTTTAGAGCAATTTCGTCTTTTAGATTGCTCCAACATCCGAAGATGATGCACTAGAGCAAACAATAAACGCCGCAGAGAACATATTAGTGGTTTTTTTATGTTTGTACTTACTTTTATTTGCGATTTTAAGAAGGTAATTCGACTCGTTACACAGATCTAAGCTTTACGGATTCGATAGAGGAAAATGTTGAGGTATAATTCAAGCTTTAAATAAACATGTCTCTTTTGTTTAGGAAGTATCTGCGGTTGGTGAAGCCGATTTTCAACTTACACTTGTTGGAGCAATACTTGGTCTGTTTTTGAAAATTTTAATTGGATTTTGTTTAATTTTAGGCGGACAAATTGTTGAGAAGCGTGTGGAAATCGATCGCCGACACGATTCGATTCTAATGGAAAGACAGGGAGCCCGGTCTGCTCAGGAGAAACAAGCACGAAAGATGCTTCAAGCCAGTGAATTAAGGTACTTTTGGAATTTTAACTTTTCATTAAGATTATTTTTATATTTTGTCCAATTGATGTTGGACAAAACGTGGTGCTGCCGATTCCAAATGTCGATCGCCCCAAGATCGGCCCTCGAAACTTGCTCGGAGTCGTTACAGGTAATTGTCAAGTTATTTGCATTGTGTAAAAGAATTTTTAGGCGTTAATGACGGTTTCTACTCCATCGGCACACAAGATGGTCATCTTCGTCAGATGTTCACTAGGAATCAAATGGCTCCCTGCAACAACAATTTCATCTCCATCGATTCGATCCCAGACAAGGAGACAACAGTGAGAACAGCCGTTGGAGCAGCATCAACCACAGGAAGTCAAGGTAAGTAATTTTTATTAATTCTTAAATGGGTTTGAGAGTTTGTAAATGTTTTTATTTGACTCAATTCTTTGCATTTAGGTCACAGCCATTGCATGTGCTTGAGCGGATGCACAACGAATTGGTGCGCTTGTCGAAGGAAGGACTTGCTCTGCAATTCGAGATGCCACCATTCGAAAAGCTGTACTAACAAGTAATTATTGTCTCTTTTTTGTTTCAATTTTATTTTTAATGTCAATGGTCTGTGCAACTATTAATTTTCGTTGTTGTTTTTGTTTGTTATGTTATGTTTGTTATGTTATGTTTGTTATGTTATGTTTGTTATGTTATGTTTGTTATGTTATGTTTGTTATAAAGGTTAACGGCACTTTAGTAGAACTTGAAAAAGCACAATCGCTTCAATTTTATCTTTGAATTTGAAAGAAAAAGGAAAATTTGAATCTGAATACATGTGTTTTGTTCAAAACATTGGATTTGGCATTTAAGCTATTTGTTCTCAAGATCGGACGTCCGACTCTGAGTCGGACGTCCGTCTCAGAGGAGAATGAATCTCCTCAGATTCGGACGTTCGGATCGGAGATGGACGTCTCCTCAGATTCGGACGTAACATATACACTTATGGGGCAGACTTTTTCAAAAAGAGCATCCCCACCTCCGAGTGAATCGAGACTTATTGCGCATCGCTTCCTCTTTCAAATTAAAATTTCGAACTCTACAAGAATCTTTTAGTTTTAGCTTTAAATTAAGCCGAAGCCATGCTCATGTCTAATGGGTCTTCACTTATTTCAAACCTTCCACAAATCTATATTCAGCATTCGAGTGAATGGAGACCAAATGGGCGTTGCTGCGGATACATTCTTTCTCAGCCGTTTTCCAAAGATACGTATTCAAGACACCGGCATCATTATAAGTGGAATTCTGGAAAAGAAGGTACATATTATTTATATTAAATCCCATGTGCAAATGATAAACTGTCGGTGAATGTTCAATGGCTCGAATAAACCCTGTGAAACTGTCACTGTCTGTTTATTTGAAGAACTACGGTACGTTAAAAAACCAATATAGTAATTTCCACGCCGGCCATCATCTACTCGATGCGAACCGTGGCTTCTTGGGGTGCGCAACTGTTCAGTGCTATTGACTATTTGTTCACGAAGCACAAAATCGTTCACCGGGACATTAAATCTGGAAAGTTTGTTGCAGAAAAAGAGAAAAGCAAAGAGAAGCTTTCAGCATTTTTGCCACAGCCGACTTTACTTTGAAGGTCGGCGACTTTGGTTGTGTGAAGCGAGCACCTATTAGCAGAGTTGGATCGTTCGTTGGAACGGAAAATTATCTAGCTCCACAATTGGATGAACGCATCAATGGACTAGTGGTGAATTTTGATCTCGACGTCATGCGATGGTAGGGCACTTTTCAGGTCTCACACAAAAATGACGTCTATTCGATGGGGCTGGTGCTGTGGGAGGTGATCGAACGGCAAAGGTAAGTGTTAACAAATGAAGGAAACCAAAAGACCAGGAAACATGTGGATCCTATGATAAACGATGACTTAAAATGCTGCAAGTTTCCAATTATAATTTTATTGTTTTACTTCCGTTAAACAATAACAAACTCACCAATTAACCTATGGTTTGCTCTAAATAACAAGTGTTTATGGTTCAATTTCCCATTTTTTTAAGTCAATCTCAGTTCATTTTCAAACAGCAAATTCGAGAGTGAAAACGTGTTTTTCGTAAAAATCTATAAAAGCCTCTACGAAAAGATCGGATAAATGAGATTCTCTGAAAATTTGGCTATATACCAAACTTTTTGTGCTCTACCTTTTATCTTTTGACATGAAGATAAGTTTTCTTAGCATAAAGTGTCTAAACCGCATCATCGAGAAGCCGTTTTTGACTACCCGATTTCACACTCCCCAAAAAATCCAGACATAAAACATTTTAAACACGTTTTAAAGTTATTTTTGCGAAAAAAAATTGACCTTTCTAAGAGACCGTGGTTCAATTGATGCATTTGTTGATTTTTATCGGAAGTACGGAAAGGAACGAAAAGATTTTCTGGACAGCCTAATATATTTGAAAACTGGTGGTTTGATTACGGTATTTTTAAGTGCTTTTTAGAAATCAAGAGTTCATTCAATCCTTAACTTGTCAATTTGTCGGCTGTTACAAACTTGTTTTCTACTTTGTGTCTTGTTACCGTACTTTAATTTGGCTTTCTTATACAGTACTCCTGGACAGATCAAATTCAGGTTCATCAAATTTGGATAGAATTTTAACTTTGAATAAGATCTAAAGTTTCCAGGTACAATGAAAGCGCTTCATCTTCAAGCGGCTACCTTTAGCAAGTTGATTCTACCAGTGGGTGGGCTTTTTGGTTTTTTCAAAAAGTACTAGCTTTGAGCCTTTTCCATAGTTGTTAGGTAGTTTGTTAATGGCTGATTTCGATTGAGGTACCACTGCAACTGCATGCTAAACTTGTCACTAAAATTGGTTTAAAATCAGTCATTCTATTGGTTTAAAATCAGAACCTGAGCCGCCCTGAAATTGAAATTTATGAAAAATGTCAAGTTCAAGGGGACTTTGTGTGTGAAAAGAGCTGTGAACGTAAAGTGGCACCAAAAAATTTGGTATTTTTCAATGTTATATCGAGACTCGGTTGTGACAAGTGAATGAACATGATCTAATATCGAAATGGATAAACGTGAGACAGCCTCCGGTCAGCCCGCTACAAAAGTGCTGCGGCTATTCCCTACTTTGTTTGCAAGAAGAAAAATGTTTAACAAAGATCCCTTTCGATTGCTTTTTTTGGGGAATGATGAATTATTCAATCACAAGATTATAATGACATTTGGCACTGATGCAGCACATTCAAAACTACAAAAATTTCATTTTTGCCCCTGATTTTTTTCTTTATATTTTCTTTACATACACACATTTATATTAGAATAATATTTTCTTTAAACTCTAATATGTAAATGATATACTCATTTGAGAATCGAGTAATGTGTAAAAAATATCGAGACGAAAATCGAAAAATATCGAGAAATATTTAATTTATTTTTTATTGCACAATCTACACATACAATTTCCTAAAAAATGATGCCAAATTCAATATATTAGCTTGGAAAGGTCAAAGTGAAAATTTTTTGCCCTTATTTTTCTAAAAATACCAAACCACACATTTTTGTTGGGCCAAATATTACTATAACCTTTGGTCACCCTGTCCAGCACTCAGCTCTTCATAACACTGACAAAAAATTGATAAAATATTTACTAAGATCTGGGAGGCTTCTTTGTGTCCTACTGGCATTTTTGTTACCCTAAAGTCGCGAGTATAAGTTCTGTCTGGTTTTCGCATGCAAATTGACGGTGTGTCGAGGGTTCGAACCCCGCTGCAGCATAACTTTTTTGCTTTTTAAGAACAATAGAAGTAAATTTATTGAGGGTTATAGCAATTTTATGTTATTTGTCAATGTTATTTGTTGCTCCGGGCGTGGCTCGGCGCGTCCGCCCTGCTCCTCTCCGGTGCTCAGTCTTGTGGATCCCTCCCTGGCCTCTTCATCCAGCCAAAGTCCACGTCGACGGTCGAAAGAGATGCTTTCCAGCTTCTTCTTCAACACTATCGTCGTCTGGATGTATCCATGCACATAACAAATAGCAATGGTGATAGGCTGTCACCCTGTAGTATCCCGCGCTCTAAGAACAATAATAAAAGTTTATATAACAATAAAAATGTTGAAAAACCCAACAAAAAGAAATTCAAAGCAATTAAAGCGACATAAAAAAGAATTCTGTGCTTAGCTTCGAAACTGTTTCATCCGTCAAAGCTCTTCGAAATCCATTGATAATGCAAGAAAGGGGACCGCATCGAAACTTACCCATTCCGCAACTGTCTCGTAGCTCGCTCTCTTTTTTCGTCCCGACAGGGTAAATTGGTCGTTTCGGCTATCGGACATCCATTCTTCCCAGTGAGCCTTTAGATTGTATGGCTTATTGACGCTGATGTCAAGCGGTTGTAGAAATCGAGTTAGCCCTCCTGGTATCACAGCCAGCTTCGAGTGTTGCTGAATTTCAGCCTTGACATTATCGGTTAAGTAACAGCGAGCTGAGTCCAACACGAGCACTGATTCTTCGGATTTGGCCACCGGATTTGCTCTTCGCAACCAAATTTCATCGATCCACTCCTTCATCAAGTCCGAATTCATCCACCCTGTCGGATTAGCTTTGATGATCACACCGGCGATTTCGGCGTTTTCGTTTCGGCGGTGTACGTTCTCCTCATCGTATCTAAAATGAAAAAACGTTAGTAAAATAAAAAATAAAAAAAAAAACAAAAAAAACCATAAAAAATTAAAAAAAACAAAAACAATAAAAATTAAAGAAAGAAGAAAATTTTCCATCCCTTTAAATGCCCTTTAAATGTAAATTCAGAACTTATACTCGGATGAACTTATACTCGCGACTTTAGGGTACTTAGTTTATGTTTATCAACTTCATGGGTGAAAAACGTTTCGGTTTTCTTTTTTGTATTGTTTGCGTGTTTGCTCTAATGATAAGCATAATTTAATCAGTTTATTGAGAAAATTCTCGTAAACAAGATTTCAATCGTACATTTGATCGAAGCCTCAATGACAATGAGTACAAAGACCGGTGGCAGGATCAGGCGGTCCATCTGCTGCGCAATTCTTTCCGACCACTGAATCCTCTCCGCCCGCAAAATATGGGGTATAATTTGCATCAGGCAAGGTCGGGCTAGAAATCATTTTCATGAAAAATAAAAATAAAATGAAATCCACTTGCAGCAAGCCGGAAAGATCTGACAAAGCACTGCGTATTGGCCAGGCATCTTCCGGTAGGCACATCCAACGCGCTGCGCGTTTCCAGCCAAGACCTTGAAAGCTCGTACCCAATAAATGACTTCTTTGTACTTACTGTGTACGCATAATTTTGAAAGGTCCAGCTAGCGTTGTCTACATCCAAAAAGGATAAAGTACCGTACCAGTAACCATACCAAGACTCGTTCCAAGCTTTGTCAACTAAACATATGCATTTTCTGCCTGATCGTCAATAGGTAGATGACGGAAAATTGCAATATCTGGGTCAATTTCAATCGGATCTTTTCGATAGAAAATTTTGGGTCGAATAGATTCAAAGCCAAAAAAGTGGGATTGAAATTAACTGAGATATAGCGATTTTCCATTACACCTATTGACGATTACACCGTAAATGTCTATCGTCAATTAGAACGAGTTTTCACTAGACAGTTGTTTTTTCTTTTTTTTGGGATTTTTACGATTAACGGCGGGGGAACGATTATCGCCGGAGGCCGCTTTTTTGACCAACTTTCAGCTTTATTAAGCACCTTAAACTGGTCAGATCAGGAAGTTTTACTAAGATTTAGATAGCTTAGAACGTAAACTTTCAGAAACTATTTATTTCATCAAAAGTCAATGACAAAAACCCATCTAGAGTCGGGCTGCAAGTTGGTCAAAAGATCGGCCCGCACCGATGATCGCTCCCGCCCGCCGTTAACCGCAAAGATTCCTTTTTTACAAGCTACATTTACATACACATTTGCTGTGGTGTTGATGGGGTATCTGTTCTGTTCAACGGATAAATCCCGTGCCCGAGGTCGATTACATTAAAAGGATTTGGCGGGAGTTGGGTTCCCCAGCCGGCATTTGTCCAAGCGTCCAACCGAGCCGCTGCCGCGGTCGCATATTTGGGACTCCATCTCTAAGGTGGAGATAATCTGAGCGGTGAAAATGAGCAGGCTTGTTCCAAATGACGTCATAGGCCCGGGAGCACGTTTTAGAAAAGAGTATATGCTTTCTTGACGCTATAAAGTTACTGTATCCACACTTTAGAAAGCAGATAATGTCATCTAAAACGTGCTTCCGGGCCTATGACGCCATTTGGAAGATGCTTGAAAATATAAAAGTAAATGCTATAACCAAACCCACTATCTGGCACATTCTCAATGCTTTTGGCCACATTTTTGTGTCTGGTGGGGTGCCCGGCTTAAATTTCATTTCAAGGTTGGTAATCATCAACTAACATTGTGCTCATATTCATAGTTCCAAGTATAATTCGTCCACTTTTCTTTGCCAAGGGCCACATTTGAGCGAAAGCCATTGATCGTCTAAAAAGAGTTAACCGAACGGCACCAATATCAAACCGATATAATTGAACTTTGAACAGCGGCTGGGAAAACGACTGAGGTTGGAGTAACTGCAAGTTAAGAGTTAGCATAGCTCCACAGACGTAGCCTCAACCACACACCGTAGATGAATATCGTAAATACTGCAATAGTGTCCCACCTGTCTATGGGAGCGTCGCGTAGACTAAATTCACTTGCAAATTTACTCGCAAACCAGCGCTCGGCTCTCGACACCAGTACGCTAATTTCTGCGCGAAAAAAGTGGCCAATAAGGCGATTTTTCATCATTTTTCGATCATTTTGTTCTAAGCGCTGGTTGATGCTACAATATATTTGTTATATCTCAAGCAAATCACCCATCCTTTCTACTTGAATTTGATATTCAGGCGCGCAAAAACAAACGTATTGGTGCTGAGATATGAACGTTTATTTGAGAGTAAAGTTGGACTAGGCGACACTCCTATAGGCGGGTACTATTGCAGTATTTAGTAGCTTAGTCTTGCTTAAGTCAGTTTACCACATAGACCGCTGGCCTGTAGGCAGGGCGATTCAGTTGGACACTTCGAACAAGTGGCGCCTTGGTTGTAGATCCTCTGCCCAACAACGTTGCCACTGAAATGAAAAGTGCAGTACAGTTAAAATAATCCCCAGAACATGCTCATTTCTTTTGGCCGCTAAAGGGCAAACTCTATTTTTTGCCCTTGCCCATTTCTATTTTGCACTTGATTCTGTAGCATCTTTCTCCAACTTGGCAAAAATTTGATTTTTCCAGAGTCTTTTCGTGACCCTCTGTTCCTTCTTGGTTCTAATTTTCCAGAGTCGAGTACCTCCTCGCATGCTTTGCAATGCTTTCGCGAGGCTTTCGCAATGCTTTTGGATTTCTTGTATCACATATCGTGCCCTTTTGCCATTTACGATAAACCTTATAAACTTTTCCGGTTTCTGTCAGCAAATGACATCCTCGATTGGACTCTGGAGAAGCTCCAATATTGTTCTTGTTAATTTTATTGTTAGACTTGCAAAGCAAGCGGTGGCTGGTTTAGAAGCCACTTTTCGGATGCGATCTGCTGAGGGATTGCTTGCAGGGCAGCTAGGATTTGACACGAGGCTACTCCCGAGCCATTAAATCTCCAAAGAACGCACCGAACTGTACACAGTGAAGTATTGACAGACAAATCTCAAACTAACGGTGGATAGTAGTGACAAACAACAATTCTCCGTCCCGAGAAATTACCACATAGAACATACGCACATCCGATTGATTGTGTTGTGGACCACGCCATCTAAACAAGCTTTTTCGTTTCGTTTCTGGAATCCGGGTCTTTAAATTGTGAAAAGCTATTGTTTGTATTGATATCTTGTCAAGATCGAGATTTTTAGGCATAGTTTTCGTTTTTAAACCCTAGGATTCTTCATCGAAGGCAAATGCAAACGTACACTATTCTACCCTCCAATTGATCAGCAATTGATCTTCATAATGACTATTCAAGCCAGAACGGAACATTGGACCTGGTTTTTGGTGGGCTCAAAAAAAACAAATGGAGCCATTCGATTTGTAGCTCGATATTCACTCATTCACAATTCGAAAGTTTCTTCATTCGGCGCGACTAGACATGGCTAACGATATTTTGCGCTTGCTCCCGTTTGGACAAACACATCGGCGTACTGAAAGTTGGTAGCAAATTAAACCTTTTTTATCAGAAAGCCAATATTATTAGGTTCATTTTGATACCAAACATTCAGCAAAATTCTTTAAAATAGCACCAAAAACACATTAAGCCTTAAAATTGCTAAACAGGGCCGGTTAAGTATTGCTAATCATTTCAAGATACTTTTTTGAGGACTTTTGTTGAATGTTTGGTATCAAAATGTAGCTAATAAACTAGGTTTTCAGATAGAAAATGTTTCTGATTTCTAGCAACTCTCAGTGCGCTGAGATGACTGGCAAAACATGAAGCCTCGCTAACAAGTCTAGGTGTGACAATGTCTCTGGTTCAAGACATGGGAAAAGGAAATGGATTAACGTGGAGAAAAGATAAAGAAAAGATCAAAGTTGGAGTCAAGAGTAGTATGTTCGAACATATGTTTCACGGGATATCGTCTTTTTCAAGATCTAACAAATGAACTGTAACTAATGCGCTGAACTTTGATCATCACCAAAGAAAATTAGACTCTTGGCTGAAAACTAGGGCTTTGAACGGAAGGCCTGTAGCCTTCAAAGCTTGACGACCCGTCAAAAGCCCTGAATTTGAGACAAAAGCCTAAGCCTAAAGCTCCACATTTTACCCAAAAGCCGAAATTCATTTAATCAACAGTTTATAAACTTTGAATAAATTCATTTAATAATACAGCTTATCTTGATCTTCCTTCGAGCGCTTTTCTCAATGAAAAGACCCGGATTCCCGAGAAGAAGCAGCTGCTTCATTCATTCAAGCTACAAAAAGCGATCAAGTTAGAATTTTTCCTAAAATATTTTTATCTAAAAGTGCCTAAATTTCTTTTTCGTTTTTCGTTACGTCGAGAGTCGACTGGAATTAAATGTCACCACCTGTGTAGCGTGTGCTGTAGCAGCTGTAGTGACGTAGCCTTTGGGTCCATTCGTGAAAAACTGGTTAGCCCATGTGTTCACGGTCTTGTTGACCATGAGATCTTAAATTTTTTATTTCTACAAAATCATAAACAATAAAGCTCAATAAAATTGCCTATTGTATTTGGTGGATCTCCAGGAGCGACAGGCTGGATGTAGACATTTATCCCAGCACTTGAGATTGCATTAGGGGGGCACGTTTCCGCATAGGTGGCTGCTTCAAGGACCAAAGTGTAGTTCCAAACCTAAAGGATTTTGTATAATCTTACCTGTACGGTTGTTTGCTTTTTTGCTCAACTGTTTTTTTTATTTTATTTCCTTTCTTGTAATCTTGCTCGACCCACCAATTTTCTCATATTTGTAGCTTTGGCAAAAGTGAAGCCACTTTTCGCCTTGTAAAGCCCTCTGGCAAGATTGGAGCGAAAGACGTTGTGTCTCTAAATTATTAGCATACGATTAGAAAAACGAAGAATCTCTATATCTCCAATCAAATTTTTCTTACGCACATTTAAGATTTGAGTTTGCTGAGCCCCGGTCAAGGGAATCAGCTCCCATGTCGATACGCCTAGGATTTTATAATAATATAGAAAAAGTTGTGTTACAATATACAATGTCGTTACAATAAAATGTTACAATATTGACTGATCAACAAAAAAAGAGCCTCCATTTTCTTTAGATAAAAACAAACCGTTGACGAACAAGAATAACCACAAGAATTCGTGCATTTTCCCCATAAAGCTTTAGCTCAAACAATTTAAATATGAACAGGGCTCAAAAACGATCAACACCAAGTCGAACGTGATAAAAATTGAAATTTGTGTGCTCTTCTTGTTGAGGTTTTTCAGTAAACGGAACACTCACTATGATCCCAAAAATTCAGTTAAAAAAGTGTCACCAAAAATCCCAACAAAGCAAAAAAAATGTTTTAAGCGGGTTGATCTAAAATTTCGGTTCTGTGGATGAATCAAAAACGATCAACAACAAGTCAAAAGTGAATAAATTCAAAATTTGTGTGCTTTTTTGTTGAGGTTTTTCAGTAAAAAATCCTATTGTTAATCGAACACTCACTATGATTCCAAAAATTTAGTTAAAAAAGTGTCACCAAAAATCCCAACAAAGCAAAAAAAAATGTTTAGAGCTGGTTTATCTAAAATTTCGGTGCCGTGAATAAATCGCTGGAGTATATCGGGAATGTGTAGGTGAGTTGACCGGGAGAGCATTCTCTGCAATCATTAGCGAATGTAGTTATTCGATCAAAACCTACTTTGGCATTTTTATACGAATAATTATCTAGCAAACCTTGGTCAAATCGTGGGTAGTTATGGGTTATACTAGTGGGATATTACCCCCGCTCAACTACCTAAGGTAAAAATTCTAATAGAAGACCACCCCCATGAACCCTCGAAATCGAGACTTTTTGAAACTTCTTTTTTGGGTAGAATGGTAGATTTGGGTCCAGACAGAAATATTAGGTTGGTGAATTGAAAACTGCCGGACTTTGAACTATAATCTATTCAACATAAAACCATAAATTCATTCCAAATAATTTCCATTATTATTGACGACTTCTACCTATTTTACAGGCAATTTGCGGATTTCTCTTTCGTAGTAGGATTTTGGTTTGTGTGTGAGACAAGTGTGAGACTCAAAAATCGAGGTCTGGAGATGGAGACTGGAGATCCCAGTTTGAGCACTTTCTTCAAAAGAAACCCATTTTGGTGTCAATCGAAAAGTTGTAGAGAATCAAAAATTAGGCTTATAGCCAAATTTTCAAAAAGATACACTTAGTAGTTTCGCTTAAAATGCAAGTTTTGTGAAAATTCGTAAATTTGGCATTTCTTGAAAACCAGCTTTTGAATCGTTCTGAAAATTTGGATATAAGCTTGATTTTTGATTCTCTACAACTTTTCCATTGACACCAAAATGGGTTTCTTTTGAAGAAACGCTCAAACTGTCACATATGACAATAGCCGGCAGTTTTCAATTCACCAACCCAATATTTTAGCTGTGGCGGTAAAATTGGAGACGTAAAATTCGAAACAAGAACCAACAAAAACTCACGCGCAAGCACACTATCCACTAGGTCTCCAGCTCGCATTTGAGGGAAGGCGTGCCAACCATATAAACCTACCGAAATTGGGGCCAAATTTTGTACGCCAAATATCTTGCGTCACATAGCTCTTCCGGGAAAATTAAAACCGGATTCGGAATCACCGTAAAAAACTCTATCAGATAAACTTAGTCTTGTTCGAAAACCCCACCTTAACTTGACAACATTCCCTAGTTAGAACACTTAAAATCTACCATCAATGCTTTGATGAATGAATGAAGCTTGATAAATTAAAAGCGACAAGTGACTATTGAAATCCGGTTATAGCTTCGTGTATTATCGAGGTTATCTATTGAGGTTTCGCTATATTTCAAGACTAGGAAGCTCCTTGTTGGCCACATACTTTTCGATTCTCCAGAGACCGAGCCAGAGTGAAACTCGTCCATCTCATCCAGAAACTCACCCAATGCAGCCAAAATCATCAATTTTTCATCATAGTTCGCATTAAAGTTGACTAAGTTTTTTTTTAAAACAATGAGTACTTAAACGCGGCTCAATTTTTCCCATAATTTTCATTACTATTCTCCTCAAAAACTAGCTGTCAACTGTCAACTCACATTTCACATTTTTTACTGATGAATCCTTTTCTTGTTGCGGTCTTAAAAGATGTCTTCCAGGAAAGCCATTTTCTGAGCACTCTAGGGGACATTTGTTTAGAATTTCGTCAATAGAAGACGTCAAGGGCGATTTAAACATCTAATCGAGAATCTAAACAATCTAAAAGATAAATGCGAATATGAAGTGAAATGATAAAAAGAAATATCTCAAGAAGTTAAAGAATTGCGACAATCGCAAAACAATTTTGCTTGTAGCTAAAGTGTGGTTAGTTTTTAGGAAAACGCAACGCAAAAGTTTTTTTATCGTTTGATCTTCAGAAAACTGTGATGCCATTGGATTCTTGGCATTTTTAAATGGGTAACTCAGAGAAACAAAAGGATTTTTAATGCGACAAACTTTACTAAAATTTTACCATAATCAAATAAAATTTTGGATGCAAAAACTCTTTAATAGACTCCCTAAAATTTTGCACATGCAGGTCTTATTTACTAGTCAAAGAGCACTTATTGAAATTGGTTAGGAGCGTTAGATGTTATGGCTTTTGGAAGCGCATCAAAACAGTGTTTAGCGATGGCGCGGGCAAGGTTAAAGCCGATCCTCACTATAATCCAGTTAGAAACTTAACTGTAATACAAAAGCGAATAGCGAATTTCATTACGCGATAACGTGCAAGGAAATTCGGCCAAAACAAAACAAATTGCAATAAAGGACGGTTCAATAATGTGCAACAAAATCTCGACCCTTGAGTTACACATTATCGAGCTGCTACTGTATAGAAAGCAACTCCGGCAACCAAATAAGTTTGCTCGTGAAAATCCTCACTGGTGTTTATTTTTGCTGTCAGAAGTTTTGGATTTAATGATTTGGATGACCGTGGCACCCAACACTACAAATGAAACAATAGTATTAACTACAGTAAAGTAAAGTACCGTTTTCCCATTTCGAGTCTATCTGATCGAGCGTAGTGATGGATAGTTTCTCTGACCTTCTCATTTTTCGACATTTACCTCTGGATCTTTCTCACAAGTTTCTCTCAAGGGTCATGTTCATTTGAGCTTTTTCCGATAAGGTTCTCCTCTTGCAAGAAAACCTCACGCTTGATTTTATCGTAAATTTGGGATTCGCGCACTTTTCTGTTAATTGCAAAAGTTTTCCGATCGAACAGGAACCTAAACCGTTATTATTAAACAGGTCAAAGGATTCATTTTTCAAAAGATTGTTTTATTTCATTAAAATGGCAGCTTCTGATGCCAAATCTCCACCTCAAACACTGATGCTCGTGTCGAGCATCCCTTTGAGTAATTTGATACAAAGGGATCGTCAAGTTTTAGTTTCAGAAAATCGGTTGGCCAATTTTATATTGGGAGTTAATATCTCGCCGTACACAGAAGTCAACGAAAAAAAAGGCTTAATTACCTTGTGCCCCTGGTCATCCTCTATCGCTTGATGTACAAATCATGACGATATCTCAATGCGCTCAAAAGCTATAACATTTCGAATGGAAAAAAGGCGTTTGACAACTGTCTGCGCACTAAATCGTAGGTAAACTACAGTAAACCGAGATTTCAGAGTTGAGCTAGGTGGCTGTAAACTTGGTATTATAGGGAAAAAATTGTGCTGATACCGAATCTGCAACCAGATTTTCACATTTATTTTTCTCTGCAAAGTTATATATTTACAAGGCAAGGTCCTGAGGGTGATGTGGAGATGGAAAATGAAGATCATTGGATGCAGAATTTGGATCCTAGATCATTGGATGCAGAATTTTTCGCTGATTCCGATGCTGTATTTAGTTTTTGCAAAAGGACGCGGAATCACGAGGAATCTCGCAAAAACGTTTGGCGTTTATTTATAAGGGCTTTCTTAAGAAAGAAGGCAAGGAGCAACTGCAGCTCCATCTCCATATCAATAGAATGAGCTGCAAAGCCGCGGGACGTAACTTCTCTACGCAAACCTCGTCTTAATGTGCTTCAATTGAGGGAAATATTGGGAAGAACTGTGCCTTAATGTGAGCACGTTGAGCGAATGAGTAAATCAAGCCAATAACAAAGCAATATGGGAACGATTACCATACACATTCACGTGAAAATGCATTAACCGTTGGATTTTTTGATAGCATATGCACTATATGACGCGAAATTTCATGCTGATTCCAAATCTAAAAAGCTTTTTGAAATCCATTCAACAGAAATTTTTTAAATCGAAAATTAGTGAAAAAGTCTATTTTTTTTCTATTGAAACGCCAAAAATGCCTTCCGCGGAAGGCCAGATCTTGGCGATAACTACAATTTGAGCACAACCCTAATGCATCAGAGTTGTATCTTTTTAAAAGCAAAAACATGAAAATTGGTCAATTTTGAAAAAACTGGTAGCATTTCAAATAAAAAACAAAAAATGCATTTTTCTCGTTTTTTTTACGAAAACCTAGGCTAAAACCATGTTTTTCGGAGTCAGCGTTGAAAATTACCCTAGAAACCGCAACACTCGCTCTTCTAGCAACATTTTTTCAAAAAAAACTGCCGTGCACCGGAGTCGAACTCGAACTCAGATCACCGGTTTCAGCTTTCCTTTTTCAGAGCTTTTCAGATCATCACTTTCAGAATATTCAGATTCAGATCAGAATATTCAGCTTTCGGATATTCAGTCAAACAGCTGGATATCTTTGAAATGGACCAAGAAAACTTGAAAATCTGCGTTAGGCTAGTTTCCGCCATTTTTTTGCGCAACAGGGTCATTTCCGCAACTGGGTCGTTTCCGCAACTCGCCATAACTTTCTTCTAAATGGACCAACCTTTATCATTTGTAAACCACCCTCTATAATCTTCAAAAACTAGGGTATTTTGAGCAAATGGGGGCACACTTTAACAAGAAACATGTTATATTGAATAGGATTTGACCAAATTTTAAGCATAAATTTCTTATATCGAGACTTGAGTGTAGTGAAGTCGAGATTAGCTATAGAAATGACGTGGCGAATTAATCTAATCCTTTCCCCTCCCCAACGCATTTTATAATAAATTGTGGTGCGACCTCCGAATTGTTCATTTCAGAAAGTGT